GCACACGGTGGAGGAGCGTCCACCGTCATTCGCTCTAGCGGACCGTGCCAGTAGTGCCCGTGAACAAACCCTCTCGATCGCCTAGCTGCCTGCTCTCGCAAACAATGGCGAGATGCATTCTGATGCTGGCACATGCGCTGGTTGTTTCGGAAGGTGCGTCCGCACCATTTGCATTGCTCGCGCGGCATGTCGGATCATGCAGCGTACGGTGGCATGTTTCAGAATGGGTGAGGGGATTCTAACACGCTGGAATCTAGCCAAGGCATGTCTGGATTCTAACACACAGCGTTGTTGAGAGTAGGTACGACGCGGATCATAGCTAATCTGAACGCAAAAGGATCTTCCTGACCCGCGCGGGAACCAACTCGCTGTACAGTATCTCGCTATAACTCAAACTGCTGCTGAGGTGATATAGCTATACAATTCGGTTGAAGTGGGACTACAGAAAGAAATGTGCAGATTTGGCTCGCTTTAGTGTGTAGTACACCGTTGTAGGGCAGCTGACAGAAGATGTTAAATAAGCATAAGGGAATTCTGATCCAACAAGCACATCTAAAAAAGGCCCCTAAGTTGCAAACCAGAACATGTCCTAAACTCAAGCAAGGTTCGCGATGCATCAACAATGGTGACCCTGCTGTTAATCAAGATACTGGCGCCGACGCTTCACGATGTGGTAAGGCAGCAGCACTTGAGATATGTCTAGCCACTGTCTGAACATGGAGAAATCTTCTGGCCCATCCACACCTGTATATCAACAGAAACGACTGTGAGAACCCATATGGTGGACCTATATTGGGCCGTGTGCACACGACAATGTCCTACCATCTCTAGGTCCCTGATTGTTAGGACTAGCAACTTGGCGTGGTGGCTGAAGATCCTGCTGGCAGTGGTCACCTGGGCGATGATGTAGGGCCAGGTGGGTTAGTTTCCTACGTCAACGGTGAGGGCAAGATAGAAGGTACGAAGGGATAAGGGTGAACCGTTCAAGGAGAGTTACCAGTCAAGCGACGTGTGCGCTGCATTGTATCCGTGCGATCCGTGCGACGCACACGCATATGTCGAATAGCGTGTGTAGTGCCGGGTCCGTCATTGTCACCTGCGGCAGGTTACGCTGGACACTCAGACCATACACAGAGAAAATGATTTCATTGTAGACATCTGCGTACCGGGGATGTTTTCACTCACTGGCGATGTGGCTGCCAGGGGTCAGAGATGTTATGTTAACAGGCGCCGTGGTATCCTCCTCATCAGGTGACGGCGCAGGTGGCGGCGCGTTCTCTGCACATCAGGGATTGCAGTGACATGAGAGACCGCCATATATATGGTCATCGCATAATGTTGAAGCACTCACGAGCCGGATGTGCCGGTGGCGCATGGTCAGAGGGTACCGGGTAAGGCCTTGAGACCGGGTTATGCGGGTCACGGGCGATGGTAGGGAGTGGTTGACCTATCCTCTTGGGATGGATCGCCCCGGCATGATGATCTGCAGTGATACGATCGTTGTTGCCAGTTGGCGCATGATCATCGTGATCAGTGTTCAGTACGTTGTTCCATGCATTATGAGAGTCCTCTTGAGTCTCATCGCCTTCCGCGTCAGCGTGATGTTGTGCATCGGGTCTAGGATCTACTGGGGGCATATCTTCGCCGCTTTCCTCCTGTTCCTGGCCTTCCATCATCAGACTCTCGTGGCTCTTTTCGGGCGATGCCTCACGAGCCCGCGGAGCATATCGGATGCACGAGGGCGGCAAGTCCGCGGCGTCGCGCGCATCAGGATACTCGGAGTCCGAAACAATCTCTATTGGTCCGCGACGTCGCCCAATCCGTCCTGGGCTGTATAGGGCGTTCGTAGCTCGCGACCTAAGACGCTCCGCCATTGGCGGACTGGATGTCAGGCGTTCCAACAGAAGGGTGGCGGAGGGTGTGCGTGAGCTAGGGTTTCGACTAATTGCTAGACACATAACAACACCTTCTGGTTCGATCTGGGCCATTATTCCCGTTTCTCTAGATACTGTTGCATAATGAAAGAAGGACATGGTTTCACCATGTAGTAAGCAGGTTGTATCTGAGTGATACATGTCAAGAAAAAGCCACATGCACCAAACTAAAGAGTTAATTATAAAACTGACATGCTAAACCCTTTACTTATTTGATATCGTGTTAGCACAACACAAGATTCACAAATACATCAACACTACAACACTGCTCCTCATTCAACTGATCACCACTTTACCTTTACGCCGTAGGTGATCCTCGTAGAAGGCACTCCAGTCAAACAAGTCCTGGAAAATCTCCTTCTGCCAGTCTGCCGATTTGCCAAACAGTTTGATTTCCTCAACGCACTCAAAATTCGACTCAACTAAGGCCTGCATATATTTCATGACGTACACACCACAGTCGTGATAGTTGCGTTGAAGAGTCACCTGCAATGCGTGAAAAGGAGGATGCGTATGAGGGTGGGAGAAACGGTGACGCTATACGTCGGGGATTAGACACGATCACGTAGTCAAAAGGCCTGTGGTACCTTGGGCTTCACGTACTCCACTCTTGCTATCCAATCGTCGATCAATGACTCGTCCGCGTCGGGGTAGAGTGAAGTGACTTGCTCCCGTAAGAATCTGCGACGATAGCGCAACACAGGAGCTTGTAGCTTACCCGTATATTTGGTGATACAAATCTGCATGCACCCATATGATCCATTTGATTTACCTGGCCACATGACGTTCAAACCCCTTGTGCATTTTCTTGGAGTCGGCATGTAGAAATCTGGTTGGCTTGGGAAGGGCACCTTCCTTAGGTGCGTTATCGTTGTCTAGAATCAGCAGGCTCCAGTGATCGCTGGAGCAAAACAGAGTAAACCTGGTGTTATCAAACGGCGACGGACGGACGGGCGTAGGGGGGGGGGGGGGTGGGGGGTACGGGGATTTTGGCGTTATGAAAGGAATGGGCAGCGACTATAAAACGCTCTAGCAACGTACTCGAAGTGAATAGGGATGAGAACCCACTTCCATTCGAGCAGGTTCTCCCCATGTACGATGTTCCCGCACGGCCATTTGCGCTTTGGCGCCGAAATGGTGGGGTAGAACATAGTCGACACGTAACACCACGTCTTGTCGTCCATGCCGTGCTGAAACTGCAACATGCTGCCACACAGGAGTCCAGGTGTGTTTGTGATAGATTAGTATCAGCCTAGGACAACCATAACGTGGGTACTACGAAGCGGGCGTATGGAAGATACTCACGCGCCAAACCATTCGATAACATCGCCCCCTACCCACTCTCTGTCTAGTAGAGTGTGGGCATGTTCCAGTGTCATGGATAACCAGTCGCTCCCAAGGGGGAATGGCATCATGTAGTTAAAAGACGGGCCATGTTCGGGCTCTTCCTGCTGCTCTTGGTGATCGGACGCCATGTTCCCACGTGTCGCGAGTAATCAGCTTAACCCTAATGCATCCAGAGGGTAGCGGGACTTGAAAAAAGCCAACAGCGCAAATGGTTGGTAAGTTTCTACAGACTCCTCTTGTTGGTCGTGACGAGCCCTTGTTGGCCTAAACGGTGTCACCAATATCGTGTCCAATCTCGGGTCTAACAATGCGTGGCATTCAAATTGCCAGCTAGGTTGTGAAAGTACACGTGTAAAATTGCTCCCATCCTCTTTCGGACCTACCAGTAAAGGTAGGTCCAAACACTTGAAAGCGATGCCACGGCTTTGGTCACGAGGCTAAGGTTCGTCCGTCAGAACCTGGATTTTGCGGTTTGGAGACCCGGTAACGGTACGGGTTACTCTCGTACGCATATAATGGACGGTTGGCCTCCAAGACAGCATCTGTCATCGGCTTGGATGTTGCGCCGCCTTGCGACTCGTCAAAGTGTTACACAGGGAGGAGTTGTCCCAACCACATAACCGATGCCGGGTCTGTCCCATCCACGGTTGACCGTGGTTAGACAGCACGATAATCTACGGCCGACTAAACAACTGGTTACGATCCCCTCCCTTCATTATCATTTGCTCGAAGTTCTGTTCAGTTCCTTGTGTCTCAAAATCAACTCGATCGCTGTCCATCATCACTCGCCAAACACCTTGCCACGATATACTATGCATACATATGCTTAAGTATCCCCAGGGATGTCTACCCCGCACGGTCGACCGTTACGATATAAGAGGGTACCCGACCATCTTAAGGACTTTGTTATTCCGACGGCTAGAGCCAGGCCCATAGACCCTAAGTGGGCCGCGGAGGTCTTGGAGGTTAGAGCCCTCGTACTAGCATACCGGGAGAATTACCCGGCGAAGACTGGACACTTGGCGCCACATGACAGTAGACGACTGTGCGCAACAGTGGCGGCCGACCGAGAAGCTCCTGTACGATACCCTTACGGTATACCGTTTCACACTGTCCGTGCAGAGCAAACCGCGCATCGTCATAGCCGCGTCAAGCAGACCCAGGTGGGGGAGCAGGAGGTCATAGCGCAGAACGCAGCGAAAAAAGGTGAGATTTCACGTTGCTGACTTCGTTGCATTTGTGTTAGCGTCACAAGCCCGCCAACGGCTGACCTGCGCTGTATCGATTTAACGCGTTTGTTTGCCAGATATTGACGTGGGGGACGTGGAATGTGCAGAGGATAAAAATATTCGGACTGATCCAGCCAAGAGCGGGAACACAGAGGTTGGATGGGCGAGGAGTGAGGATCGAAATCCGGAGTCGTGGTACGAGTTCAACGCCGAGCTGTACACAGTGCCAGTGTGTTCGCCGTGCACAGATGCTGACACGGACAACGAATCTGCACCTGCTGGGAACTCTGAATCTGACGGCAGCGCGTCTGAGGGGGAAGATTGGGTCGCCGCGGATGTCGGCTTGGTGACCGATTCAGACACCGAACGCCCTTCCCCCCCTCACGCTTACCCTCCAGGCACTCCAATCTGTAACGAGGCCGTGGTCGACACAAAGGCGAAAAAGCGTCGTGGAGCAAGGAAGTCGGCCAAGAAACACGCGGCCGATCCCATGGCGACGGTTAGGCGAATCATACCTCACACTGAACGGGGAAAGGCGACCCGACATAATTACGTGAATATGTACGCGAAGGCGGGGACGCTGGAGACAGGGAGCGACGACGAGTTCATGCCAACCGTGCTCTACGGTGGCCTGCAGTCACCAGGAAACGCGGTAACGCCAGGGGGGTCGACCCTACCGAACGATGGGGCCGATGCGGAGGAGGATGACGAGCCAATCCCTGCTCACATATTGAACAACGACTGGAGCTGGCTGGAGTTCGGCGACGACGGCAGCGAAGACGGGGCTTCGGCGGATGTGGAAGAGGTGCCGCAGAAGGTCAAGGCTAATACGCCACCTCGAAGCAGTGACCCTGTACCTTTGGCGGCGGGGCCACCAAGGCACAAGGTGGACATCAATCACACGCCCCGGTCAAGCTTTGGGCCTGTAGTGCACGCGCATGATGCCAGCGTGCATGAGCATGCTGAGTTGCCAACCCCCCCCCCCCCCCTTTCCGCAATTTGCTACCAAAAATGCACCGAGTCATCGCTCGGAAAGTCGACAGGTCAAGCAGGAGTCAATCCCTCACACTCTGCCGTCCCTGCCGAGTAGTTCCATGGCCAGCGGGGCCTTCTGCTCTCCAGGGAGGGCACCTTTCACCTCTCCCCGGTCTGCCCGTGCCAGCTCTTCTCCCTCTCAGGTCCCGGCAAACCATACGCCGGCTCGCCGCGAAGAGGCAGCTCCTGCTCGGGGGTCGGGCGTGGCCGGATCTGCAAGCGGTGAAACCCCTGAGGGCGCGCGGGTGGATAGCGGGTCGAACAACGATGCAAGCCGTGTTGCGACACTGGAGGCGGAGCTGCGGGCATTGATGGGGAAAGTAGCCCAGCTCAGCGGGCAAGTCGTTAAGAGGCAAGAGGAGCCGGAGGGTCAAACGGGGCAAAATGTGGAAAAACCCGCTGTGGCCATTGTCGAGAGTCAGCCGCCCGTTCCGGTCGTCACCAAGCCAGCCGCAACACCCTCCCGGAAACCCCAGGTGGCCGCTACCGTCAGGGCAGACCATGAAAGCCCTGACAACCCCGCGTCCAAGGGCACTTCAGGTGTGCGGAAGGATAGGCAGCGGCTTTCCGACATGAAGGATGCACCCCACTTACCGCCGAATCCGCTGATGTATGATCCGCTCCTTGAATCCCCAATCACGCAACCGGAAAGCCGTGAGGACGATGGTGACCGTCCCAGCACACTGGATGCGCGGCCCCTGAAGCGTATGCTATTCTCAAACCCCCTGGAGTCTCTTCTCCGTACCGAGCTCCCACCCAGGCAAGATGACTTGGGGACGGTGGGAGCCATGGAATGGGGAGGACCGATGAACCTATCCTCGACAGGCAGGGCAATACCCATGGCAGAAACATGTCCTCTCAGCATTACGAGGAGGGGCCTTGGCGTTTTGGCGGGAAGCGGGGCAGGGGCGACGAAAGCGTTATCATTGTGGTTGACTACGACCCGGAAGAGCGGGTCCCCGGTCTACCGCGCTCAATGCCTAAACCCAAGCCATTCAGGGTGAGTCACCGTCTTTTGTGCATAAACCCCAATAGTGCACATATATGTGAGTTAGGAGAGTAAGGAGTGTATGGCCACTGAACGCTTGCCCGCAAATGAGCCCTTGCTGTATAGTTCCGCCAGTGGTGGTGAGGGAAGCCATTTCTCAATATAAATGCCTTCGATTGTCCCAAACTGTCCCTTGCTTCCTCGTTATGCCTCTTGCTTGCTCGTCCTGACCGTTGATTGCTCGTTCTTCCCCAACCGATGACGGGTCTGCCCCATGCTTGCTCGAGCTGGCCCTTGCGTGATCCGCCTAAACCCGTTGTTTGTCCCAATCTGCCCCTTGAATGCTTGTTCTGCCTCTTTGTTGCTAGTTCTGCATCAAGGTTGCTCGTACTGCCCCTCGCTTGCCCCCCCTGCCCCTCGCCTGCTCATTCTGGCCCTTACTTACTCGTTATGCCTCTTGCTTGCTCATCCTGACCGTCGGTTGCTCGGTCTGCCGCTTGCTTGCTAGCTCTGCCCCTTGCTTGCTAGTTTTGCCACTTGTCAACCCGTACTTCCCCTCGCTTGCCCCCCTGGCCCCTCGCTTGCTCTTTCTGCCCCTTGCTTACTCGTTATGCCTCTTGCTTGCTCATCCTGACCGTTGATTGCTAGTTCTGCCGCTTGCTTGCTAGCTCTGCCCCTTGCTTGCTAGTTTTGCCACTTGTCAACCCGTTCTGCCCCTCGCTTGCCCCCCCTGCCCCTCGCTTGCTCATTCTGCCCCTTGCTTACTCGTTATGCCTCTTGCTTGCTCATCCTGACCGTTGGTTGCTCGTTCTGCCGCTTGCTTGCTAGCTCTGCCCCTTGCTTGCTAGTTTTGCCACTTGTCAACCTGTACTTCCCCTCGCTTGCCCCCCCTGCCCCTCGCTTGCTCATTCTGCCCCTTGCTTACTCGTTATGCCTCTTGCTTGCTCATCCTGACCGTCGGTTGCTCGTTCTGCTGCTTGCTTGCTAGCTCTGCACCTTGCTTACTAGTTTTGCCACTTGTCAACCCGTACTGCCCCTCGCTTGCTCCCCCTGCCCCTCGCTTGCTCTTTCTGCCCCTTGCTTACTCGTTATGCCTCTTGCTTGCTCATCGTGACCGTTGATTGCTCGTTCTGCCGCTTGCTTGCTCGCTCTGCCCCTTGCTTGCTAGTTTTGCCACTTGTCAACCCGTACTGCCCCTCGCTTGCCCCCCCTGCCCCTCGCTTGCTCATTCTGCCCCTTGCTTACTCGTTATGCCTCTTGCTTGCTCATCGTGACCGTTGGTTGCTCGTTCAGCCGCTTGCTTGCTAGCTCTGCCCCTTGCTTGCTAGTTCTGCCACTTGTCAACCTGTACTTCCCCTCGCTTGCCCCCCCTGCCCCTCGCTTGCTCATTCTGCCCCTTGCTTACTCGTTATGCCTCTTGCTTGCTCATCCTGACAGTTGGTTGCTCGTTCTGCCGCTTGCTTGCTAGCTCTGCCCCTTGCTTGCTAGGTTTGCCACTTGTCAGCCTGTACTTCCCCTCGCTTGCCCCCCCTGCCCCTCGCTTGCTCATTCTGCCCCTTGCTTACTCGTTATGCCTCTTGCTTGCTCATCCTGACCGTCGGTTGCTCGTTCTGCCGCTTGCTTGCTAGCTCTGCCCCTTGCTTGCTAGTTTTGCCACTTGTCAACCCGTACTGCCCCTCGCTTGCTCCCCCTGCCCCTCGCTTGCTCTTTCTGCCCCTTGCTTACTCGTTATGCCTCTTGCTTGCTCATCGTGACCGTTGATTGCTCGTTCTGCCGCTTGCTTGCTAGCTCTGCCCCTTGCTTGCTAGTTTTGCCACTTGTCAACCCGTACTTCACCTCGCTTGCTCCCCCTGCCCCTCGGTTGCTCATTCTGCCCCTTGCTTACTCGTTATGCCTCTTGCTTGCTCATCCTGACCGTCGGTTGCTCGTTCTGCCGCTTGCTTGCTAGCTCTGCCCCTTGCTTGCTAGTTCTGCCACTTGTCAGCCCGTTCTGCCCCTCGCTTGCTCGTTCTGCCCCATGCTTGCCCGAGCAGGCCCTTGCGTGATCCGCCTAAACCCGTTGTTTGTCCCAATCTGCCCCAACCCTGCTTGTTCTGCCTCTTTGTTGCTAGTTCTGCATCAAGGTTGCTCGTTCTGCCCCTTGCTTGCTAGTTATGCCCCTCGCTTGCTCGCTCTGCCCCTCGCTTGCTCGCTCTGCCCCTCGCTTGCTCATTATGCCCTTTGCTTACTTGTTATGCCTCTTGCTTGCTCGTCCTGACAGTTGATTGCGCGTTATGCCCATTGCCTGCTCGCTCTGCCCCTTGCTTGTGCGTTTTGCCACTTGTCAGCCCGTTCTGCCCCTTGCTTGCTCGTTCAGCCCCTTTGCTTGCTCAAGCAGGCCCATGCGTCCTCCGCATAACCCTTGGATTGTCTCATTATGCCTCTTGATTGCTTGTTCTGCCCCTATGTTGCTAGTTCTGCCTCGTGATTGCTCGTACTGCCCCTTGATTGCTAGTTCTGCCCCATGCTTGCTCGAGCAGGCCGTTGCTTGCTCAAGCAGGCGATTGGTTGATCCGCCTAATCCCTGTGGTTGTCACAATCTGCCCCTTGATTGTCCGTTCAGCCCCTTGCTCGCCTGTTATGCCTCTTGCTTGCTCGTTCTGCCCCATCCTTGCTCGAGCAGGCCCTTGCTAAGGCACTTTTTGGCTCGTGCTTGCGCGTTCTGCCCTTGTTTGCTAGTTCTGGCCCCTAAACCCCTTGGTTGCTCGATCTGCCACCTGCTCGTCTCGTCCCATGTGAGTTGTGGGGTTGCCACCTTCCCTCCCTCCCTCCCTCCCTCCCTCCCTCCCTCCCGTGTTCCCTCCATCCTCTCCCTCCCTACCGATCCCACAGGCATACGCCAAGCATGCAATGGAGTTACAGCTTCGTCACACCACGGCACGGGCGGTCACCTACTTCCCAAAGAACAGCGTTAGGAACGAGGCCCTTCTACTTGCTCTGCGGAGGCACTATGACGTGGTGGCAATCGACATAAAGGTGGCGATGGATGACACTGCATACAGTGGGGTGGTGGGGAACGTGTGGACGAAGTTCAGGAATGAATCGTCGACGGACGCGCGTCATTACATCTACCGAGCGCTGCGGATCGATGCACGGTCGTCTGGGAAGTACAAGATGGCTCTAACTCCCAAAGCGAAGAAGTACATTTGGGGGAAGATTGGGCAGAGTAAGACGCATGATGTATCATGGGATGCGGGAATGGGAAGGGCTGGGGGCACCCCAATTGGGGGGAGGGGGGGGGAGTGTTTCAGGTTTTGAAGACTTGTGAGGGTCTCAGCATTATAGGTAGGTGTGCAGTGGGGTGATTTGCTTACAGTAAAACCTAGTACAGTGGAGCTAAGTAATGCTGACGTGACGGCCGGTGAGGGGGGCTCTATATTCAAACCTAAACGCCACATACCCGCCTTCTGTTTTTTGTTTGCAGAGCCACACATGGGATTTAAAATTTCGGTATGGGCTCACATAAAGGGCGACCGTCGGCCCTTCATCAACGAGATTTTCTACAAGGCCTGCGTGGCGGCTTACCCTGAGTGGGAGCGAGGGAAGTGCATGGTGCTCGTCCCATACCACATCGCGTGGGTGATGATGTCCGTAAGTGTCGTCAGTTGCAAATATCCTTTATGTTGAAGGGCTTACAGTAAGCATTGTTTGTGTTGTGGTTGCTCTGTTTTTCCAGGTGGACTTTGGCCTCCAGAACATGCGGGACAACACAGTGCACCTGAGTGGCAGCCCATTGGAGACGGAGAGGTGCATGGAAACGGCCACTGAGCTGGTGTGGGAGGTGGTGCAGATGTGGTTGCGGCTGGCTAGGGGGCAGTGGTACGACCCCCGGGTTAGGGCGTACCGTTGGGGGGATAAGGGGCTGTACATTAACGAGAGTGGGCTTGAAGAGTTTAGGCCGGAGTGCTTTGCTGGAACCCGTGCTGCCGATAGCGGGGATGCAAGCCCGTTGATTATTCGCCGCTAGTTTAGGGTGAAACGGACCTATTTAATATCGTTTGTCATAGCAACGTTTAATAACGCTTAGCGTCCTGATTGTGATAGTTTTTTTATTGTATCGATATGTGTTACCCATCAAACAGTAGGTGTAGTTAATGTACCGTATGTTAATTATAAACCCGTTTTTTGGTCGCGGCGCATGGCCAGTACTCGTGGCCCCGAGCCGCTCTTTTTCGAACCCCACACGTGTGTATAAGCTCGGTGATTGGTTCCACATGTCTTTTGCATCCCTCCCCAAAGGGTCCCGAAAATGTCCAAAATGGTCCTCTGGAACATTTTCGGGATGGCGGGGAGGAGTCTTGCGGAACAAATACAGGAGCCTCCCAACAGTACCGGAGTTGTTCCCGAAAGAGACTTTCGGGATGGGTGGAAAAACTATCCCGAAACTCTCTTTCGGGACAGTTTTGGGACATTTGTGGGAGCCAGGATTTTGGAGATGGAGGCGGCGTCGGGACCGCTTAGGGGCGGCGACGGGGCCGCTTAGGAGCGGTAACGGGGCCGCTTAGGGGCGGCGACGGGGCCGCGCAGGGTGGGCGGCAACGGGGCCGCTTAGGGTCGGCGACGGGGCCTCTTAGAGGCGGCGACGGGGCCGCTGAGGGTGAGAGGCCGCGACGGGGCCGCTAGGGGCGGCAACGGGGCCGCGTATGGGCGGTGACGGGGTCGCATAGGGTGAGAGGCGGCGACGGGGCCGCTAGGGGCGGCGACGGGGCCGCGAGAGGGCGGCGACGGGGCCGCGGAGGGGCGGCGACGGGGCCGCGTAGGGGCGGCGACGGGGCCGCGTAGGGTGAGAGGCAGCGACGGGGCCGCTAGGGGCGGCGACGGGGCCGCTAATGGCGGCGACGGGGCCGCGTAGGGGCGGTAACGGGGCGGCGTGAGGGGCGGCGACGAGGCCGCTAGGGGCCACCAGGGGCCTGGAAAGGGCGGCAAAAGGCGCGCCTCGGGCAGGTGCGACTGGCGCTCTGGTCAGAAAGGAAATTTTCAATGGTGGGCCCAAGGAAGCGTTCCCACTAGGGAACCTGCTCTATACCATGTGAAGAATGAGGGATGAATGAACTAGCACAAGGTTGGGTACAAGTAGGAAACCCTAGGAAACTGTACCCCATAGTGTGTACCCCACTATAGCCTACACAAGCTATATATTATGAGTTTGACAGCACTCACGATTTGATCCGCCGAACTTTACTTCCAGAAGAAGGCGACGCGCGCACTGTGGTAGACGGAGGTCAAAACCCTCAATACAAAACATGAATACACAATTTGGTTCTTCTAGCAATTTTTTTTTTTTTTTTTTTTTTTTATGCAAGGATACACTATAAGTGCAACAATACATCGGCAGTCGTAACTGGAGCTGATGGGCCTAGGGGGATCGCTCCCTCCGTACCCATCCTGATCCTCTAAGGGGGACGGAAAGCAGCCCTCGGGTTCGACCAGATGGCCATGAAGCCCTTTGACCACGTGGCTGGTTGAGCTGAGTTGTCCATGATACGGCCCAAAACCCGGCACTCGTCATCATCCAGACCAGGACGAATGGCACCGAGCCTCTTAGACACTGCCTTAGCACGCTTGTAGATCCTGACATGCAGCTGGAAGGACGCCGCAATCCTCCGCAGAGCCCTCCTCGCCCGGAATTTACTGCGCTCGAAAACTGCATCACACCTTTCAACCCAAATTCGGTGGAACACGATTGCTGTGATCGTAGCCTCGGGGAATCCCGAAGCTGTCCCCTCCTTCCTGAAGACCACGTCACCCAGAGATTCAATTTTCCGATGCGGATTTAACATACGGAGCGCCTTCAACAGTGCCCGAACCACCGGCTGAATGCGCGAGCAGAGAAACAGTCCATGTTCCAGCGTCTCTTTCTCCCCGCAGTGGGGGCAGGCGACCCCAGCGCCTAGAAAATGTAACCGTTCCCCCACCTGCAGGTTCCGGCTGTGGATCCGGAGCATCACGTCACGTGCACGGTTCGGAAGAGCAGGCGAGTCCCTTACCCCGATCACCCTCCCCCAGTCAATCGGACGGCCGAGGGATTCCTCCCACGTGCTCTGCTGCTTTGGTTTTCCGCCAAACCGCCTGAAACCCTCCTTGAGTTGCTTCAGCTGCGCTGGCCGATCCCCCTCCCAGATGGGAGAGCACAACAATCTTGCCTTGGGACCACCCGCAGGACCAAGCAGCCGCCCCTCCCTGACCACAGCAGGCACCACCTCATGCGGCAGAAAGTTGTGCGTCCTCTCCTCTGCTTCCTCCAAGACCCCCCGGAAGCATCTGATGGCACGGCAGACGAGGGTTTCGCCCTCTACACACTCAATCCTCCAGACACCGTAACTCGCCCCCGCCCTGAGCACGAACTTAGATACAGTGAGCACCGTGCGCGCCGTGACAGGCGCCATAAGCATCTGCTTCCACTCGTTTGGAGCCGCATCAAAAATCCTCATCGCCAGCTTCGCTCCATCTGACCCACCGAAAGCCCGCTCGAGCTCCTGAGGGCTTTTCAGAGCCCTCGAGCCATCCACGGCAATTTTGATGAAGTCGCCCATCACCGAGCGCTTCAGCGGCTTAGCCGCCTTCTGCCGACCCGCGGGGGACTTCCCATTCAAAAGCAGACAGCGATTGAACAGTAGCATCTCTTGCTCCACCTCCCACACCGACGAGGCCTTGATGCAAGAAGGAAAGCTGGACTCCAGGAATAATTCACACGTCCGCTTCCACCTCCCACACCGACCTGCCCACTGCTTCATCAGCCCCGCGTGAGCCCAAAAAACCTGCAGGTCCGGAACATCCAGAGCCGTGAGCGCGAGGTCAGCACGCAGACCCAGTGGCTGTGATGCCAGTAGCGCTATCCTCCTGGCCGCCAGGCCACCCAGTTCAGCACACGGGTCCCGGACACCGAGCCCGCCTTCCCCTCTCGCTCTGAACAGCAACTCCTGGCTCCAGAGAGCAAAATGTTTCCCTGCCGTTGAATGGTTACCCGTGGCGAAATTATGCAGCAGCTTCACCAGCTTCGCCCAGATTTCCACAGGAGGAGGGTAAACCTACGCCTGAAAGGCGAGGATTGGATTAATGTACCCGTTAACCACCGCGACCCTGCCGGACGTCGTCAGGTAATGTATTTGCCATTTCACCAGCTCCGCCGCTGCCCGTGACAGAGTAATTTCCCAAGTCACCGACGCGTCACCCGAGGGTGAGATCCACACCCCTAGAACCCTTTCCGCTTCGTTTGATTGCACCCATTTGAACCCTGATGACTTGTCCGGTTTCTTGAGCAGGTTCTTTCCCAGGGGAAGGAGAGCAGACTTGTCGATGTTCACGCGAAGCCCCGACTTATCACCAAACTCATCCAGCAGCTTTACCGCCCGGCCAATCTGCCTTTTCCCTTGGAGCACCAACGTGGTGTCATCGGCATACCCAAGGTACGCAAGGCGATCACCGAACGGATTACTAATGCCCAACTTCCTCCTTATTGCTTCCTGGCAGAGAGGCTCCACCGCGCAGAGGAAAAGGTAGGGCGCCAGCGGACAGCCCTGCCGCACCCCCTTCTTGACCGCCACCGGCTCACCCAGCCAGCCGTTCAGCAGCAGTCTCGTCGTCGATCCTGCATGGAGACCCTCGCACCACCTCACGAACTTCCGCGGGAAACCCATCCTCTCCATCGTGCCGAAGAGGTATACGCGAGAAACTGAATCGAATGCCTTCTGGAAATCTACCAGAAGAAAATACCAATCCGCGTTTTTGCACTTCGCCGCATCGACGATGTCCGCGATCAGTGAGACACCGTCCGCCAGCCTTCTTCCCGGTAAGAACTCGTATTGCTCCTCTGAAATGACCTTGTGCAGCACTTTCCGCATCCTGTTTGCCAATACTCGCGCTACCAGCTTGTACGTGCTGTTGAGCAGCGTGATCGGCCGGTAGTTCTGCACCTGGTCCTTCGCGCCTTTCTTGTGCAGCAGGACAGTGACCGCCTCCAAAGCCGCGGGAGGAAGAACGGCCGTTTCCTCGAACCGCTTCGCGAAACCGAGCACATCACCCCCCAGCGAGTCCCAATGCTGACTGAAGAACTCCTTCGGGATTCTGTCAGCACCGGGGGACTTGCCTTTCGCCATACCGTCAAGAGCCTCCTTCACCTCCGCTTCTGACCAGTCTTCCACCAGCAGCTGCGATTGCTCATCACCCAACTTCCTGTCCGGGGCAACCGTCCAGAAGGTACTGTCTGTGGTTGAGGTAGGCTCTGAGAACAGCTCCGTGTAAAACTCTGAGGCAGCTTCCAGTATCCCTCTTGAGTCCTTACGCACCGTTCCCTTCCATTGCAATGATGTAATCATGGTCCTCTCCTTCCGTGTTTTAACCTTTGCAGACATGAGCTTGCCAGGCAACTCGCCCTCCCGCAGCTCCTTAACCCCCGCCATGAGAGAGACCCTCTCCTGCTCGGAGGCAAGATACGCCGCTAACTGAGACTCCTTGACCTTCAACTCCTCCTTCCGGACGGAGCAAGAAGGGTGCCTCATCATCTCCTGCTGTAACCTCGCCACTGCAGCGTCCAGGTGAGCAAGGGTAGCCTTGACCCGCTTCCGCTCCTCAGTAGAGTACTTCCTTAACGCCATGTTCATTTCCCTCATGAGCGCAGTGAAGTCCCCCGACCCCGCTTTTCCATGTTTCTCTCGAACCTCCGCAGCCGCTTTCGCTGCACCTGGTCTACCAATCTCCACCGCCTTGCACCTCCATATTCCAGGCCCCATACAAAGCTGCAGGCTGATCTTGAATGTCACCTTCACACCGAACCAGTGATCAGAGAGGCCCTTCAGCGGCCGGCAGTGCGACGCACCGGAAAGTGACGGCAGCAGAGACGCTGAGACGAGAGCTCGATCAATGCGTGAGCTGGTCTTAGCAGATTTGGACAGAAACGTGAACTCCTTCAGCACCGGGTTCATCCAGCGAAAAGCGTCGGTGAGACAGTGCGCTGAACAAATCCGCAACACACTGTTATTTTCCCCGGAAGATCCCGCTCCCGACGATCTGTCCAGGATTGGATCCTCCACCATGTTGAGGTCCCCGACCAAAACAAAATTCTTCTTCCCCACCGAGTGCGTCATAAACGGGGTCAGCACTCCGTCATAGAAAGACCGACGCCTGCAGGCCTTCGCCGGGAAGTAAGCGGCCAGGATTGAGCAACAGAAGGAGTCCCACTGGACATCGGCCTGAAGCAGTCGGCCTGAATCATGCGCGACAATGTTAGTGAAACTGAGAGACTTGTTAAAACTCAAAATAGCTACACCCCCTGCCTTCCCCGCAGGACCAACGGCGTGACAGTGAGGAGCCTTAAACTTCTTCTAGAAGTCATGATCTGCACCAATGCGTGTGTCGATTAAAACGAAGATGTCGGGTGGCTTCTTTAACCACGCCTTCAGGTGTTTTTGTTTCCCCCTGCTCCCGAGCCCGTTGACGTTGAGCTCGCGTATTGACACGTAAGAAGCCTTATTCATTGGGAAACCGCTGAGAAGCCCCAAGCATCCACGGGCTGAGTGAGACACAAGCAACAGGCTCATATAAGGCAAGTACAGACTCGAGTGACCCTATCGTACAGACACCTTCCCTCCATAGCCCCTCTACACCCCATAATCCTTCTTCAGATGCTTGAGATTGATCTTCCCCTTCAGCAAGCGGAGCGACTCCCCCCCTTTCGGGGCCCCATGACGGTGCCGCTGAGACAACGCGTGATGAGCAGCCTGCCCGAACGACGAACCATGAGCTTTGTCGCAGCTGTCCTGAAGACAGACCCACTCCTCCCGATTGCCGCTGGTGGAGATCAGCACCAGGGACGGGTCCTTGAGAATAAACTTGGTTGTATCTGATGCAGTGGTCGCAGCAGCTGCGGAGCAACGATGTGAGTACTCGGGGAAAAACGTAAAGGAAAAACGACAGCGAGAAGGAAGGAGCTCCAGCATCAACAGCATGAGCGGCACGACTACCATTCAGCTCATGGACCCTCCCAACGGTAAGGTGCCATTTGGTGATGTTGCTCTGGCGCTCGACGACGAAATCGTTGTGGTTGTGAATCGAATGGTGACCTCCGCACAGGCTGCACTTCAAAGACGGGTAGTGAATCAGCAGAATCTCCTCCTTGTTAAGCGGGTTTTCGATGAAGTGTTTCCAGCGGTACAAATCCCCCTCGTGTGCAATCACCAGCCTTTTGACCCGATCCATGTCCAGGCCGGTTACCGAGTTGACCGCGCGATGAAAGCATAGTCCCTCCTTGAACACCGACTTCTTCTTCTTCTTGAGCGGAGCCATCAGCATTTCATGCAGCATGGAAGGTGAAATCTCGGCGGGGACGTCCTTGAAATATAACTCAATCACCGCCGGATTCGTCGCCTTCTGTCTGGCGAAAGCGGGATCCTCCGGGTATTGCCAGTCAAAAGTAACGTAAGTACCATTCTTGCACTTATGCTCCACCTGATTACGCCACACAAAGTTAGCATCAGATGCCTTATCAAAAGTGACTTGCATGCGACCATAGTAGTTCTTGTACAGGAAAACAGACGACAGCTGCTGGTATGTCGTGGTGGTCTGAGCTCCGTCTGACAGCTCATCCTTCCAGATTCCCACCAACCCCTTGATCGTGGCCTGTGTGCGAGGTACTTCCGGCAGGAACTCCTCAGGGATCAGCAGCGTGATCGGATAGCGGGAGCGTGACGCAATCACACCCTTTGACGCATCCTCAACCTCCTCGTCAGAGTCATAAGCAATGAGCCCGTCGTCCTCATCATTCAGCAGGTGAGAAACCCCCGAAGGACCCGAGCCGTCATCAACAGCAACATGATTGTCATCGTCATCATCATCATGAGTCGCCTCTTCGCCTTCTGGAGCGTCAGTAACAGCATCCTTGAAAACAACTTTGTCCATACCCTTCTTGCTTTCATTCGCAGCTTCCTCAATGCGAATGGCCGCGAGCTTCGCCGTAAGAGTCAGAGCTTCAGACTCATCAGGCTGAAAAGGACCTTTGGATGCCTTTATGACGGTTGCAGACTTCTGCGGAAGCCTTGACATGGACTTCGGCTTAACTGGCGTCGTCGCCGGCGGAGCAGTAGAAGAAACAGAGGCCAGCGGTACAGCAGCGGTGGATGAAGCAGCAGCAGCCGCAGCAGCAGCGGTAGCCGCGGTGACAGCAGCAGGAGCTGCCTTCTTAACACGGGGAGCCATCGTGCTATGATGATAAAAAAACCACCAAAGCCAGTGAAGTGCTGGAGAGATGTGAAATCTGAGCACGAACTTGTCATCCTTTATAGAAATGATAATGCCTGCATGCTGAACTCTGATTGTAGCCTTGAAAATGGAGAGAAGCCTTGGAAACTCCACATTGGAGACACCTCGCACGGAAATCCCGAAACCATGTCTTATGCTCGCCTTCAGGGTGTTGGGACCAATGTTCTCTGTTTGAACATTTAAAAAATATCCACAGGTACCCTGATAGAAGACGATCTCAATGGTTATGTTTTTTGCGGGAATGTCGTACAATAGGTGGTACATTGGCGAGTTCCAGGGTCTCGGTAGAATCCATGGCTGCCTGGAGGCGGAGAGCAGAAGCATTTTCGGAGAAAAAAGGTGATGAGATCGATAACAGCAGTAACAGCAGGAAATGAGTGAGTCTGGACAGCGATCTCTTCTAGCAAATATGGTTTATTTCCGGTTCGGCTTGTTCGCCAAGTCGGTTGGGCAGCTCTGGGCTGAAATCCTACGGTTGAGATTTACCGGCCCTACTTTGAACACTCCTCTGGCAATGTTCGGCCCCTGGTTGATCTTTTCCCGCTATCTTCCCCGATGGAGTCCCCCCGTCAGGCATCGTCAGGTTTGCCTCAGCGAACTCTAGCGTTCCACCGTTTTTACACCTGTAACAACTGCAGTGAATTCGCCCGCGATCTGCCGAAAGGCGAGGTCGGACAAAACCACCAAATCGGCCACAAGTGACCACACCTGCCAGTACCCCCGTTTCCGAACCGACCGCCCTTCAACCCCGAAAACGCCCAAGTACGGGGCCCTCTCCAACCCCAAAATTAGGCTAAGTAAACGCTGCTCGGCTATCGGCGGACTCACATTTTTCTGATGTAAATTCACAGGAGTCTTACACTGTGCCAGAGCAGCCGCAATGAAGTTCCGAATAGAGGACCTCGACGTGTACTTCCCGTACGAGTACATCTACCCGGAGCAGTACGAGTACATGGTGGAGTTGAAACGTACGCTGGACGCCAAGGGCCACTGCGTGCTGGAGATGCCGACGGGCACGGGCAAGACCATCACGCTGCTGTCGCTCATCACGTCGTACCAGATGGCGCGCAAGGGCACGGGCAAGCTCGTGTACTGCACGCGCACCGTGCACGAGATGGAGAAGGCGCTCGCCGAGCTGCGCCTGCTGCACGCCTACCAGCAGACCGCGCTCGCGGGGGAAGCCGCCGCCGGCGCCGGCGCGGGGGAAAACGGCGCAGGGGGGAAAGGCGCGAGCGGAGTCCCGCGGATATTAGCCCTGGGGCTGAGCTCGCGCAAGAACCTGTGCATCCACCCGGTGGTGGCGGGCGAGGGGTCGCGCGAGAGCGTGGACGCGGGGTGCCGCAAGCGCACGGCGTCGTGGGTGCGCGCGGCCGCGCTGGAGAACCCCGACATCGAGGTCTGCACCTACTTTGACCAATTTGACCGCAAAGGACAAGAAGCCGCTCTGCCGCCCGGAGTGTACACGCTCCAGGACCTGCGGGCGTTTGGGCGGGAGAAGGGGTGGTGCCCGTATTTTCTGGCACGGCACATGATCAATTTCGCTAACGTGGTGGTGTACAACTACCAGTACCTGCTGGACCCCAAGGTGTCGGGGATAATCTCTCGGGAGCTGGAGCGGGAGAGCATTGTGGTGTTTGACGAGGCCCACAACATCGACAACGTGTGCATCGAGGCTTTAAGCGTCAACGTGCGCCAGCAGACCATCGATGGCGCTCACAGGAACCTCGCCCGGCTCAACACAACCATTGAGCGGTGAGTGGGGAGGGCAGGGAAGGCGGAGGGGGGAAGAGGGGCCTCGAAAGCTTGTTCCACTCAGTACGATGATTGATCGGTGCCGGTAGGGCGCTGCAGGATAGCGGGAGCAGAGGGCGCCGTGGAACAAAGGGGAAGGGGGATGAGAGAGTAAGCAGGAAGAGAGGGGGAGCAGAGGGAGAGCAGGGGGAGGGGAAAGCAGGTAGAGAGAGAAGGGGGAGAGGGGAACTAGAGGGAAGTGGGAGAGGAGAGGGAGGGAGAGAAGAGGGAAAGGGAGAGCAGAGGGGAATGAGAGCAGAGGGAGAGGGGGGCAGAGGGCGAGGGGGATCAGAGGGATTGGGGGAACAAAGTCGAGTTGAGTCAATTCCCGATGTAGCTCAATTTCGATCCGACTTGGTGCATCAAGTCGGGCACGACTCTTGATGAGTTGTTTCACTCACCAATCCACTATGACTCAGCCTGGCACTCTGCATGAGTCCTTTGCGTGACCCCAGTGTGCGCGGTTGTTAGTATTTTTACTAGGCAATCGCAGGTGCAGTGCACATTGTTTGGTGTGCGCGTGACAGGTTCAAGGCAACGGACGCGGAGAGGCTGAAGGAGGAGTACCGACGGCTGGTGGATGGACTGGCGCAGAGAGGCAACTTGCCAGGTGATTGCCTTACAAGGTTTACATGCCAGTTACTTGCAGCAGAGGTGACCTGCCATGATTCCAACACAAGGTTAAAAAGCCAGTTACTCACTACGAAGGAAACCTGTCAGGTGACTCCAACAGTCATACAGCACAGAATAACGAAACCCTAACCCAGATTCAAGGTGGATAAGTGGCAGCTTCCACCAGAAGCATTCGCTCAACACCGCAAGGTGGTGCTCTGCCTCTCATTCCAACAACACACAAGCACTGTGTGCGCCACCAACACCACCTCACGTCTCTTCTCCCCCTGCCCCTTTTATCGTCTCCTCGGTCGCCAACACCCACTCACGCTCACACACCACTCCATTTCCTCCTCTTCTCCTCCCGTCTCGCCCCTCTCGTCTCCCCTTCAAACTCTCTTCTCTTCACTCTCCCCTCTCCCCTGATTATTCTTCCCAGACCCTTGACCCTTGCCCCTTGTCCCTTGTCCCTTGTCCCTTGTCCCTTGCCCCTTGTCCCTTGCCCCTTGTCCCTTGTCCCTTGTCCCCCTCCCACACACTCCATCTCATCACCATCTTCCTCACATCCCCCAACTCTTGCTATGCCAACCATCCATCCCACTCTCCCCTCCTCTCACCCCCCCACCTTTCTTCCCATCCCCCCCATCCCGCCAATCAGCATGCAGACACGTGGCTGGACAACCCACTGCTACCAGCAACCATCCTACAGGAGGTGGTGCCGTGCGGAGCACTTCCTGGCCTTCTTGCGCAGCTTCCTCACCTACCTGCACCTACCCCTTCTCACCTACCTGCACCTACCCCTTCTCACCTACCTGCACCTACCCCTTTTCACCTACCTGCACCTACCCCTTCTCACCTACCTGCACCTAACCCTTCTCACCTACCTGCACCTACCCCTTCTCACCTACCTGCACCTACCCCTTCTCACCTACCTGCACCTACCCCTTCTCACCTACCTGCACCTACCCCTTTTCACCTACCTGCACCTACCCCTTCTCACCTACCTGCACCTACCCCTTCTCACCTACCTGCACCTACCCCTTCTCACCTACCTGCACCTACCCCTTCTCACCTACCTGCACCTACCCCTTCTCACCTACCTGCACCTACCCCTTCTCACCTACCTGCACCTACCCCTTCTCACCTACCTGCACCTACCCCTTCTCACCTACCCATCTACCGCACAGTCCATCTCACCTCCTCCTCCCTCACTCTCCCCACCTCCTGCCAACCATCTCCCTCTCCCTTCCTCTCATCCACCCCCTCCCCCCCTTTCCCCTCTCCCTATCCCCCCCTTCCCGCCAATCAGCATCGGACATGTGGCTGGCGAACCCACTGCTGCCAGCGGACATCCTACAGGAGGCGGTGCCGGGCAACATCCGCCGCGCGGAGCACTTCCTGGCCTTCCTGCGCCGCTTCCTCAGCTACCTGCAGGCGCGCCTCAACACCACGCGCGTCGAGTCCGAGGGGCCCCTCGCCTTCCTGCATGCCCTGCAGGCGAGTGAGTCAACGCCACTCCACACACGTGCCCTCATTCTGTGCGTCACCTGCACTTGTTCTCTTTACATCCCACGACAGGAATGCCATGGTTGAACGTTCCATTCACCTTCCTGCATGCCTGCCCTGCCCGCATGCATGCGTGCCACAGGCAGCGACGGGCATAGAGAGCAAGAGTCTGCAGCTGTGCTACGACCGGCTGCAGTCGCTGCTGCTGACGCTGCAGGTGGCGGAGGTGGACGAGATGGGCCACGTGCAGTGCGTGTGCGACCTCGCCACGCTTGTCGGCACGTACACGCGCGGCTTCGCCATCATCATCGAGCCCTTTGATGAACGCCAGCCACAACTAGCTGACCCCGTGCTGCAGGTGGGTGCTGCACGTGGGTGCTGCTGCAGATGGGGCGGTGCCACTGTTTTCTCCCTATCATGCTCGATTCCTCACTCTTGTTCTTTCAATCCCTCCTCCTTCTTTTCCTTACTCTCTTCTTGCCTTTTCTCCAGCTCTTTTCTCCCCTTTCCTTCACTCACGCTTTCCACTACCCTTCGCCCCCACCCCTCTCCGCCCCCACCCCTCTCCGCGCCCACCCCTCTCCGCGCCCACCCCTATCCGCGCCCACCCCTCTCCGTCCCCACCCCTCTCCGCGCCCACCCCTCTCCGCGCCCACCCCTCTCCGCGCCCACCCCTCTCCGCGCCCACCCCTCTCCGCCCCCACCCCACTCATCCCCTTGCCCGGCAGCTGAGCTGTCTGGACGCCTCACTGGCCATCCGGCCCACCTTTGAGCGGTTTCAGAGTGTGATAATAACGAGCGGCACGCTGAGCCCCATCGACCTGTACCCGCGCCTGCTCAACTTCCACCCCGTCTGCATCCGCTCCCTCTCCATGTCGCTCTCGCGCGACTGCCTCTGCCCCCTCGTTGTTACTCGCGGCAGGTGAGGTGAGACCGGGTTGTTGCTGTACGTGAGAGGAAAGGAGGGGTGATCATCCATGAGAGGAAAGGAGGGGTGATCATCCATGAGAGGAAAGTAGGGGTGATCATCCATGAGAGGAAAGGAGGGGTGATCATCCATGAGAGGAAAGGAGGGGTGATCATCCATGAGAGGAAAGGAGGGGTGATCATCCATGAGAGGAAAGGAGGGGTGATCATCCATGAGAGGAAAGGAGGGGTGATCATCCATGAGAGGAAAGGAGGGGTGATCATCCATGAGAGGAAAGGAGGGGTGATCATCCATGAGAGGAAAGGAGGGGTGATCATCCATGAGAGGAAAGGAGGGGTGATCATCCATGAGAGCGGAGAATGGTGCAAAAGGTTGTTCTTGGGCACAGTCTTGTCACCACACTAGTGAGACAGGAGAGATTCGTCGTGACCTCTAATCCTGGGTTATTGACCCTGAACTCTTTCAACGCTGTTTACTGTATGAACCCTGTGATGTGAACCCTGTGATGTGAACCCTGTGATGTGAACCCTGTGATGTGAACCCTGTGATGTGAACCCTCCTGACCCTGTTGACCCTGCCCCTCCAGCGACCAGCTGCCTCTGAGCACACGCTTTGACATGCGCAGCGACCCCGGTGTCGTGCGCAATTATGGCCGCTTGCTCGTCGACATGGCTGCCTGCGTGCCGGACGGCATCGTTTGTTTCTTTGTGAGCTACGCGTACATGGACGGCATTGTGAACAGCTGGAACGACATGGGCATCCTCAAGGTGGGCCCAGGACTTACGAGTTTCGGGGTTGATTTTCCTGTTCTTGGTACAAACCTCAAGATGGCTGCAATGGTAGTGGTGCCCCATGCCAAGCGCCACCATGCCAAGCGCCACCATTCCATGCGCCACCATGCCATGCGCCACCATGCCATGCGCCACCATGCCAAGCGCCACCATGCCAAGCGCCACCATGCCAAGCGCCACCATGCCAAGCGCCACCATGCCAAGCGCCACCATGCCAAGCGCCACCATGCCAAGCGCCACCATGCCAAGCGCCACCATGCCAAGCGCCACCATGCCAAGCGCCACCATGCCAAGTGCCACCATGCCAAGCGCCACCATGCCAAGCGCACCATGCCAAGCGGCACCATGCCAAGCGCCACCATTCCATGCGCCACCATGCCATGCTCCACCATGCCAAGCGCCACCATGCCAAGCGCCACCATGCCAAGCGCCACCATTCCATGCGCCACCATGCCATGCGCCACCATGCCATGCGCCACCATGCCAAGCGCCACCATGCCAAGCGCCACCATGCCAAGCGCCACCATGCCAAGCGCCACCATGCCAAGCGCCACCATGCCAAGCGCCACCATGCCAAGCGCCACCATGCCAAGCGCCACCATGCCAAGTGCCACCATGCCAAGCGCCACCATGCCAAGCGCCACCATGCCAAGCGCCACCATGCCAAGCGCCACCATGCCAAGCGCCACCATGCCAAGTGCCACCATGCCAAGCGCCACCATGCCAAGCGCCACCATGCCAAGCGGCACCATGCCAAGCGCCACCATTCCATGCGCCACCATGCCATGCTCCACCATGCCAAGCGCCACCATGCCAAGCGCCACCATGCCAAGCGCCACCATTCCATGCGCCACCATGCCATGCGCCACCATGCCATGCGCCACCATGCCAAGCGCCACCATGCCAAGCGCCACCATGCCAAGCGCCACCATGCCAAGCGCCACCATGCCATGCGCCACCATGCCAATCGCCACCATGCCATGCGCCACCATGAATGCCAGGCGCCACCATGAATGCCATGCGCCACCATGAATGCCATGCGCCACCATGAATGCCATGCGCCACCATGAATGCCATGCGCCACCATGAATGCCATGCACCACCATGCATGCCATGCGCCACCATGAATGCCATGCGCCACCATGAATGCCATGCGCCACCATCAATGCCATGCGCCACCATGAATGCCATGCGCCACCATGAATGCCATGCGCCACCATGAATGCCATGTGCCACCATGCATGCCATGCGCCACCATGAATGCCATGCGCCACCATGCATGCCATGCGCCACCATGAATGCCATGCGCCACCATGAATGCCATGCGCCACCATGCATGCCATGCACCACCATGAATGCAATGCGCCACCATGAATGCCATGCACCACCATGAATGCCATGCGCCACCATGAATGCCATGCGCCACCATGCATGCCATGCGCCACCATGAATGCCATGCGCCACCATGAATGCCATGCGCCACCATGCATGCCATGCGCCACCATGAATGCCATGCGCCACCATGAATGCCATGCGCCACCATGAATGCCATGCGCCACCATGAATGCCATGCGCCACCATGAATGCCATGCGCCACCATGAATGCCATGCGCCACCATGAATGCCATGCCCATGCGCCTTGAGGAGGTGTGGTGGAAACCACCGTTGAGATGCCATGCACTGGGCTGTGCTGCACCACGTCCAACCCATGCCGATCACACCCAACACCCCTCTCCATCATAATGTGATTGATTACCAGTTGGTGTTGGTCGGGTCACGGGACATGGGCAAACCCCCCATCGCAATGGCATGCATGTTACTTGTTCTCATGCGGCATGGCGCCATGCCCCCCCATGGCATGCGGCATGGCGCCATGCCCCCCCATGGCATGCGGCATGGCGCCATGCCCCCCCATGGCATGCGGCATGGCGCCATGCCCCTCCATGGCATGCGGCATGGCGCCATGCCCCCAGGCCCCATGGGATGGAGCACAAGCTGGTGATCACTGACACGCGGGACATGCTGGAAACCACGATGCCACTTGCCCCAAACCATATCCCATCCTGTGTCCCATGCATGCCCCAGGCCGTGCCTTGTGCCATGCCCATACTGTGCCCCAGGCCATGCCCTGTGCCCCCCGTGCTTCCCGTGCCGCCCCTCGCCCACTCTACCAGGAGGTGATGGAGCACAAGCTGGTGTTCATCGAGACTCAGGACGTGGTGGAGACCACCCATGCTGCATGCCATGCCCAATCTCACATCCCCATGGCCCGCGTGCCCCCTGTGCCCCCCACGGCCCGGCGGCAGGAGGTGATGGAGCACAAGCTGGTGTTCATAGAGACGCAGGACGTGGTGGAGACCACGCTCGCCCTCGACAACTACCGCCGCGCCTGTGACTGCGGCCGCGGGGGCGTCTTCTTCTCCATCGCCAGGTGGGCTCCAGCTCGTGACGGGTGAGGCGTGACAAGATTGAGGTGGGAGAAAGGCAAAGATCCTACGAGCAGGTGAGGCGGGCTCAAGAGAACTGCTTACAGAGCTCATATGCCAGTTCTTTCAGCATGGCAGAAAGAGTCATCCATAGATAGATAGCGGTGCGAGATGTCTCGTCAGCCTTACTTGATTAGGACCTCTGTGTACTTGCGGGCTTCACGCACGCACATGTGTCAGTATTCTGCCTGACGACATGTGCTGCCCTGTACGGTGTCTTAAGCTTCCCTTTAGGGTGACAGTTGCCACTGAAACGTGGCATATGCTAACTTATAAGGTGGCGTCGTTGATAAGACATTCTGTATGGTGCAGAACTCGTTGTTGATGGTATTTAGCATCTGTGGTATCACGATATCAGTTGCCACCTTCTTTATACAATACTAGGTATCAAGCAATTACCGCCCCAAACACAGAAGTACTACTGTGAGTGCTTCAGAACGCCTTTCTACCATGAGTGCTTCAGAACGCCTTTCTACCATGAATGTCTAATCTCTATCGCCTGCCTCCCACACCCTCCCCGCCGTGGTCTGCGTTCGCTCAAGCCAGGGGCAAGGTGGCGGAGGGGATTGACTTTGACCGCCATTATGGCCGACTCGTCATCATGTTTGGCGTGCCCTTCCAGTACACCCTCAGCAGGTGACGTGTCTAACTCTCCAACTTGTCAATGTGCCAGGTCAAATTGTGCACGTGACCAGGGATTCCTGTCTCTGTGCGCTGCCTCTTGCTCGAGTCTGTCAATTGCACATGTGACATGCCAGGTTGGGGAGGCCAAATCTGGAATGCTAATCGACTCATACAGTGTCTTGCCATCACCAAAGGCTTCATGACGCGACAGCCTTCAACGCGTCCACCTCTCTGCCCGTCCTGGTTCCCCACCCTTCCATACTGATAGCAGCGCCCCTTCACCCTGCCATTGTGCCCTCTCCCCGTTGCGCGGGACAGAATACTGAGGGCACGCCTGGAGTATCTGCGGGAGACGTTTCAGATCCAGGAGAACGACTTCCTCACCTTCGACGCCATCGTGAGCCCCTCCCCACCCCGCCCCACCTCGCCTTGCTCCCACCCCGCCTTGCACCACTCACCACCCCTGGTGCCATTCCATGCTCACGCTCCCTCATCCTTCCCCTTCCCTTCCACTTTCAACTGCTCTCTGCACTCTTTCCTCTCTCCTCCCCTCCCCCCCTGGAACTCCATTTCTCTAATCACCTATCGCTCCTCATTCTCTACCTCATCGCGTCCCTCATGCCTCCATGCCTCTCTGCCTGCTGCATGCCACCAGAAACGACTGGCGCTGTTTGTGGGCTGCAACGTGTGAGGCCAAGGAGGACAATCATCCAGCCAAAATCACATCTGTCGCCAATTCTCACACATCACTCCCACATCTCTCCCACATCTCTCCCACATCTCTCACACATCACTCCCACATCTCTCCCACATCTCTCCCACATCTCTCCCGCATCTCTCCCACATCTCTCACACATCTCTCCCACATCTCTCCCACATCTCTCACACATCTCTCCCACATCTCTCACACATAACTCCCACATCTCTCCCACATCTCTCCCACATCTCTCCCACATCTCTCACACATCTCTCACACATAACTCCCACATCTCTCCCACATCTCTCCCACATCTCTCCCACATCTCTCCCACATCTCTCCCGCATCTGTTCCCCATCTGCCCCATCGCTCAGAGGCAAGCAGCGCAGTGTGTGGGGAGGGTCATTCGGTCCAAGTCCGACTATGGCATCATGATATTCGCCGACAAACGGTGAGAGCTACCTCTATGGCATCCTTATATATTCGCTATAAGTGGGGAGGTTTGGCAGTATTTCATCATGAAATTCGCCAAGCTGTGAGCGTTGGCAGTTTACATCAGTATCTTTTTCTCTTCCTTCAATGTCTCCCTCCGTTCACTATTTTGTCCAACCTTACTCATTCTGGCCCATCTGTCCTCCTCCCTCTTTCCTCCCCGCCTTTTCCACCCCTTCCTCCCTTCCCACCACTGCCCTCACCTTCCCTCTTCCCTCACCTCCCCTCACCTCCCCTCCCCTCCCCTCCCCTCCCCTCCCCTCCCCTCTCCTCACCTCCCCTCCCCTCCCGTCCTCTCTCCTCCTCCCCTCCCCTTCCCCCCCGTCCCCTCCCCTCCCCTGACCTCTAACCCTTCCCCCGCCAGGTACAACCGGCATGACAAGCGCAGCAAGCTGCCGGGGTGGATCGTGTCGCAGCTGCCCGACGCACACCTCAACCTCTCCACCGACATGGCCGTGCACATCGCCAGGGAGGTGAGGCGTGCACATCGCCAGGGAGGTGAGGCGTGCACATCGCCACGGAGGTGAGGCGTGCACATCGCCAGGGAGGTGAGGCGTGCACATCGCCAGGGAGGTGAGGCACCTCAACCTCTCCACCGACATGGTGATGTTGGGTGAGGCGGCGCGGCGGGGGCGGATGATGGGCAGCACCTGCAGCAGCGCCCCCGCCGCTTCCCAGCGTCGCCAGCAGTGGCAACAACATCTGCGGGGCATGCCGTCGCCCCTGCCTGCCACCGCCCTTCCTCTGCTGCCATCTGCCCTTGCCGCGGTTTCTGCTGTAAGGGTGGATGGAGGTGCTGTAAGGGTGGATGGAGGTGCTGTAAGGGTGGATGGAGGTGCTGAAAGGGTGGATGGAGGTGCTGTAAGGATGGATGGAGGTGCTGGCCCGTGCGTCTACTGCCGGTGCCCTTCGTTGCCCCAGGCGGGGCGGATGCTGTGGGGGGGAAGGAGGCGGGACTGGCAGCCATGGTTGAGGGGATGCTCACGCCTCCTTGGTGTGTTTGTGTGCTTGTATGCAGTGGATGTGCTTGTATGCAGTGGATGTGCTTGTATGCAGTGGATGTGCTTCTATGCAGTGGATGTTGTTGCGTACTATCGCTCCCTTCAACACTCACTTGCAATGTCTTCACACACCCCCACCTCGGCCCTTTTCCCCCGCGCATGCAACGGTTGCTCTCTGGCAGTTCTTCTTTCAAATGGTGTTATGTCAACAGAACCGAATTGTCAGGGTCATATCTCTTTTTCTTTCAAGTGGAGCTCAATTAGCAGAGTTGACTAACAACCACCCACACCTTAACCCCCTCTTTCTCCCCTACCCACCCTTCCACTTCCACCCCCCTCCTCCCCTCTCTCCCCCACTTCGATCCCCCTAGTTTCTGCGGCGCATGGCACAGCCGTTTGACCAGGCAGCATCGATGGGCGGTGCAACTGCCACTCTCCTCAGTGAAGCTGACGTGGCAGCCATGGCCATTGGCATGGGCACAGCAGGATAGATAACAATCCCTAGTGTTTCTGACATCTCAGCAACGCTGAGCAGTGCAAGAGCTGGTTGTAATGGTATTGTTTGCTAGAAAGGCATAGTGCCAGCGTAGCGGAAACGTGTTTGTATAAAAAAACAAGATAGAAATCTTGCATTGATCATTGAAAAGTAGAATGATGATGTTGGGCTGAGAAAACCCCTTAGGATCTTCAAGGATAAACTTTGAGCAGAAGTGTTGTATTTGCGGAAGCGTTTCAATGATGAACTATTGTACCACCTTGCGCTAGTTTGTTAAGGCAAGGTAGATTGATTATAGAAAAAGTAATACAAGCTTTTATAAGATTACAAGGAATATGAAAGGGTGCAAATAATAACTGCTTTACTGTTGCTGTTGCGATTCGATACAGTGATTGTCAGAATGTTATTGTTCTCTAGCCTGCAGTGGGGTACTCTATAGCGTATACAACCCCTTAGGGTTTCCTATATGCATTCTGCTGCTTTCTAGTGAACCCCTCCTTTGCTTAAACTGTCTCTTGCCTAGCTAGGGCTTACCTAGCTATGGCTCCTGAACTTAACTACTATACTACTCACTATCTTCACATGGTATCAGAGGGCGGCATGTCTACCGCCGCCTTGTGTATGGGCTCACCACCTGCTTCCGCTTCCGCTCTGTCCGCCGCGCGCCCCGTGGTGCGCGGCGTCGACATTAGGGTTTTCAGCCCGCCGTGCGCCCCGAGGCGCGCGGCGGCTTTCTGCCCCGTCAATCCGCGCGTCGCCCCCGGGAGGCGCTGCGACGGGCGACGGGGACCCGCGCCTCGCCCCCCGTCGCCCGTCGTGGCCCGCGCGACCTGCGTAGGGCCCGCGTGCGGCCCGTACAGCCTGCGCGCGGCCCGTACGGGCAACGCCAGGCCAGGGCGCGCCTCAGGCCGCCCGCGCGCGGTTCGTACGGGCTGCGCCAGGCCCGGGGGTGCCCTGTTTCCTCTTCCCTTGCGCTGCCCGCTGTCCCCCGTGCTACTGATGGCGCCCCACCCCTGCTGCTGCCCGTTCTCCTGAATTAGGGTTTGGGGGTGGGGGGTATGGGGGTGCAGCTTCCGTGTGCCGTCCCCTGCTCCTCCTCCTCCTCCGTCTCCCAGTGCTGCAGCGGCCGCTGAGGGGGGTGGACCTGTTGGAGCCGTCGGAGTGGTACTAAGGGGGGTGAAGGGGGAGTGGAGCTAGGGGTGAAGCAGGGGGTGTGTGTCAAGGGGGGTGGGACTGTTTGGGGAGGTTGAGAGGAGGCTGCCGTCGTGTCGTCAGCAGCACCGGTAGTCCGGGGCGCTGCTCCGGTAGCCCAGTCGCAGCCAGCTGTGCCAGTCGCCCGTGGGTCCGTTGCTCGTCTGCCGCTAGTTTTAGCCGCGGAGCCAGTTACTCCAGTAGTCTGGAGCGTTGTTCCGGTAGCCGCTGTGCCAGTGTGACTCCTGTTGCCCGTGTGTCTGCAGCTTCATCCGTCGCCTCCTATCTCCTCTCCTCTTACAGTCTCGCCTCCTCCTCCTCACTTGCCCTTTCTGATAGCCTCTAGCTTTGCTTGCAATTGTGCACCTGCTCTATGACTGTGTGCTCTCCTGATTACACCCCACTTTGGCTATGGGGGTGTGTCAGAATGTTATTGTTCTCTAGCCTGCAGTGGGGTACTCTACAGCAAGTACAACCCCTTAGGGTTTCCTATATGCATCTTGCTGCTTTCTAGTGAACCCCTCCTTTGCTTAAACTGTCTCTTGCCTAGCTAGGGCTTACCTAGCTATGGCTCCTGAACTTAACTACTATACTACTCACTATCTTCACAGTGACGACTCGGGCAACTGCTTAATCCCGAGTCGGTTGTTTGTCCTTGCTGTCGCGCTGTATTTGTCAAGTCAAAAGTCGCTGACCTTTGACCTTCATGTAACCTCGAGCAGTTTGTCAACCTCCGATGGTTGACTCGCCGTTGCTTCGTTGCTATTTGCTTCGTTTACAGTTCGATGTTCCGACACATCAGAAGCGTTAAGTTATTTGTTTCCAACAGATGACACAATGATGAAGAAGTGACACAGCAGGGTATATATGCATCCAACTACCCCTCCAGAATGACTCCATTCACACCAATAATGGTGTACCAATAGTTGTACCCTCTACCCTCCAATAATGCTGGCCTCCAACAATTCTGACCTTACAATAATTGTGATAATTATTGTAGGACCTGGAGGCTTATAAAGGGGACTACTCCAAAACCGAACAGCGCACTGGTATACAGTATTCGTTATACTGTATTCAGATTTCAAACACTCCCTCTTGCTGTAGGTTTTAGTGAATTTGTTCCTTGGAGGATGGGGTGGTCGAGGTGGTGTACCACCAGAAGGTAGGGGTGCGCCCAAACCAAGCTAGGGTTTGGTGTTGGCCAAGCTGCTTGTCACTGTAGCACCTTTCCCTTCCCAACCTTTGGGCCTTCCAAACTTCAATCAAACCACCTTCCTTCACGTTTTCCAATTCCTCCTTCCAATATCGACATTCTAGATCGAGATCTAGAGAGGAGTAGCTGCTGTTGAGGAAATCGTAGCAGCTCCATGGCGAAATCTCTTCAAAACCATGGCGGAGTCCGCGTATCGTCATGGCGGAACGCCCTTAGAACACGCCGAATTTCCGAAACCGTAGACTTCACGACACGCGATTGTCAGTGCTGCTGTCTTTTTCGCACGCCTCCTGTGCGACGACGCGAAACCGCAATGGATGCGCGTCTGCGACGACTGCAGCTACGGATGACGCGAAGCGGTAGCGGATAACGCATGGCGTACGGCTGGCGCGGAACTGCATTGGCGGGCGCACACTGCATGCGATAGAAGCGACGACTTGGCGTTCGTCAGCGGCTGACGATCTGCTGCGCGCCTACTGCATCATTTTTCTATCCGCGCCTGTTGCATCTTCGCGTGATTCTCTCCTCCCCTGCTTTTCTTCCTCTGCCTTTCTCTGTAAACCTTGCCTTTCTCCCCCTGCCTCGTGCTGGGATTGGCACAAGGTTGTCCATGTCTTAAATCCACACCAAAGGGTGATGCCAAGTACGCTCTGACTTCACCCATGTTTCCTTATGATGCTCCCCATACACACCAGCCGACACACGGTAGCGGCCGGAGTTGCCGAACTCCATCAGCAAAAATCTGCGCATGCCGACGCACTCCAAGTATCCCGAAAACCTGCATTCCATGTGTGCAGAAATGTCCACTCCAAGTATGCAGTTTTGTGCACTCCAAGCATTTAGCGCACTCCAAGTATGCAGAGTTGTGCACACCAGGTACGCAGTGCTCCCATATATATTCTCCACTCTTCCCTCAGGTGGTGCCGTTCATCTGCTGCAACCAATACCACGATACCGCTGCAGCACGACGTATGACGACCGGCTGCATTCATTCTTCCTGCTCCCCCTGCCTATTGGCAACCCTTGGTGAGTAGGACTTCCACTCATGCTTCGTGACTCCATGTCTCACTCCAGTGCCACCAGATACACTCCAGACCTCCACCTCCCCCCACCCATGTGCTTGTAGTCATGCACGTAACCGCGTATACAGCTACAAGCACGTGAGTGAGTGTGGATTTATGTGATGCCATGTTGTGCAACACACCTCGAGGAGGCCGCACAGATGAGTACAACATCAACACCTCTGACTTGATGATTGCCTTGACCAGCCAGCAGATTGCAGGTGAGATGCTGCTTGCTCGGCTTGTCCACCTCGTTTCCCACATCATTATTTTCCACGCCTTCTGGGATGGAGACACCTGTCTCAGGTAAGTCATTAGCTGTGCCTCTGCTTCCTTTGGCTGCACTGACTTAATCAGCTGCAGGTGAGTCCTATTCTACAAGGTTTGCTCCATCGCCTCCCGAATTCACAGCGGACCTTTTTCCTTCTCCCCCTGAAGTCCACTCCGCACTGTGGGGTGAGACTTCATCCGTGGTATCATCATGTACCGGGTTCCGCACGATGCAGGCTCTGTGTGCCATGTGGTATGCAGAATGGGTACGTAGGTGTACCCCATGTGTGCGGGAAAGCACGCTACCGTGTGTATCCAAGTGCACTCCATGTGTGTGGAAAGGTGAACCGCTTTCACAACCATGTCTTTTCGACGACGCAACGTCGCTGGAATGTCCAGGATCATTGGCAAATGTAAGTGCCGGCTCATACTGCACCATGAACACTCCATCCACGTTCTTGCCAAGTCCAACCCGCACGTACTGAGAAAAAACGAGAATGGATGAGCTATGAATGAATTGGGTACAAGTACTAACCCTAATTGGGTTGTACCCCTTATGGGCTACCCCACTATAGCCTACACAATATGCATGAGCTATAATGTTCTGACACACCCCCATAGGCAAAGTGGGGGAGAACAAGGAAATACTACGAGCTTGTAAGGAACCCAAGATGGAAGCCTTACGGTTCGGCATACTTTATTGCGCAAATTCAGTTCTATCCAACTCGAAATTCTACTGATTTGTTTGGTTGACAATAGTTTAGCAGGGCAAGCACTACAGGGGTATAATTTAGGTGAATGTTGGATGTTGTTTGAATCTGCATGCAACAGGGCCAGGGGAAACTAGCAGAACCAGCATTTGGCTGGTTGGGCAAAGACAAAACAGGATCTGTCTTTAGGACCTGATCCTGGTTGTTGTTTTCTTAGGTTGGAAAAACAGAACCAGAGGTTGTTTATCAACCTACCACTTGCTGTTTTGTCCAGCCATAGTAGTTCTGTTGCTTGGAGTTATTTGGGATCATCCCTGGTTTTTCTCAGGTTGATTCCCAAGGTCCTTGCTACCTAGAAGTGTTTTTTACTTCTTTGTTTGTACTTGGATATAGTGAAATTGATTCAAGTGAATTTCTTCTTTGCTGGAATTTCGTTCCTACGCGGTGCGACGGCAGAATGCTACCCGAGTCAACGCTAGTATGCTATTGCCTCAGTGCTAGGCAAACGCTGTATGAGCAATAACTCCGTAATGGCAGAACTTTTTGCGGG